TTGACATTTTTAAAGATATAAGCTCATCCCGATGTTACACTCATCAAAAGCTTTCATTTAAATACCCACATGCATTTTTGATATATTTTTTAAATATACATATATATATAAATATATAAAATATATGAAAAATTGATGTGGGTACTCAAATGAAAGCTCTTGATGAGTGTTATATCGGGGAGAGCTTATATCATTGAAAATGTCAGTAATTCACAAGATACAAGGTCATTTCTTAAATATATATATAATATATACATATATATGATATATATATAAATATATAAAAAATTGATGTGGGTACTCAAATGAAAGCTCTTGATGAGTGTAATGTCGGGATGAGCTTATATCTTTAAAAATGTTAATATTTCACAAGATACAAGGTCATTTCTTAATTAATAATTATGTTTCTAGAGATAGAGCATTTTTAACTGCTTTTTAAATAAGTTTAAATACTTTTCATAATAAATTGACACAAAATTTTTCTTATTCTCTTAATAATATAGATTAGTGTCAATTTTTATTTTTAATTAATTAATTTATTTATTTAACGCTTATCGGCGATATACACCAATATATTATTTTCTATATTTAATTATTAATATTTAGTATAAGTAAAATTAATGTTTAATGACTCGTATAATAACAATTTTTTTTTATTTTTTAGAATTAAATATATGAAGAAATATATACTATTGTGTCTAAAGTTTGGTCCAGTACTAATAAATTTGAAGCTACTAATATAAATCTCAATCTAATATATATATTTATATATCTATTAAGCTACTAATATATATATATCAAGTGCTTTTATCAACCTGTTTAAAACTTCAAAGAAGAAATTCATGTAAAATTCATAATCATAACGTTTGCATATATCTTCTTATAAATGGTAATGGTATAATTTATTAAAAACAATTAAATATTTATAATTTATGATTCGTAATTATAAACTCAACTTAAAAATTTCAATATTACCATCGTTATCTTCAGCAATATTAATCTCAATTTGTCAAAATTATCATACAATAGCCAGCATAAAGGGATCATAAAGCCGCGATATTCTTAAGTATAGAGATAACGATAACATCACCCCTTACACTATTCCGTCTACCACAACATACCACTACAATTTATTTTCCTCTATATTTTCAACAGTTAAAAAGTTTCTTTCATAAGTATATTAATAAACTCAAAAAAAAAAAAAGAAAATAATTTAAATTTAAAGTGGATAATTTTAGCTTAATATTCTTCGACATTATATTAAATTAACAAAAAGTTAAAATTTACAGAGTAGATAGGATTGATATTATTCATATGATAACTGAGGTATTCACACCCTAATCGAAATGACGAGGACCATTAAATCGGGCCGCGCCTTAATAACCGGGAACAATGTTCCATGCGGTGATTTGTCATCTGGAAATTGAGTCGTATGGAATGGTAGACGGTGGAAGTAGCATAATATATAATATAATGTAATGTATAGAGATATATATATATATATGTTACAGATATGGATATATAGGAGAGAAGAGAGACGATAGCAGCATCTGTAGGTCTCCTTTCTCCTTTCTCCCTCTGGAGAGTAGAGAGTCTCACCCCCTATTGTTCGTGGTAGTTTGGACCATCATGGCTGCTAATCATTAATATATGGCTGGCATAACCATTGTTGCGAATTAGGCAGCATTCAACAGTGCATTGTCAGGCTCCAAGGGGGTTGCGCTCTCTCTTTTAGCTGTTGTACAATCATTGTCGCGTGTTAGTTCGACCCTCCGGCCAACCAACTTCTAATAAACTCCAAATGCTTGGATTTAATCGACCGGAATCTCTTTATTATATTTATTCTTATAACTAGTATATAAAATTCTTGTAAATATTTTTATTTTATTTATTTCTTAATTCTTATAAAAGTCTCATTCAAGAGTAGATTTTTTGATTAGTTATTTAAATTAGAATCTAATTTAATTAGATATTTCAATTATTGTACGCTAATATTAAGTAAGAGTCGGTATAAGCTATAAGGAAAGTTTTTTATTTATATTTTTTGTAAAATTATATTAAGTTACCGGAAAAATTTACTGTTAACTACAAAGGGCATTGTTATTTAAAATTTTGTAAATTGAGCCAAGACGTATTTTTTTCTCAGTCAAATCAAAACTTAAATTAAAAATAATTAATTGAAATTAAATCAATTAATAGTAAAACAAGCAACATTGCGGTCACTATGTGACTGCCGTGAATTGTGAAATATAAATAAATTGAATTTTACTTTATTAAATAATGAATTTTGTTAAATTGTACTCTACTTTCTTAAATATTGACGTTTTTAAAAATATAAGCTCATCCCGATGTTACACTCATGAAGAGCTTTCATTTGAGTACCCACATGCATTTTTTATATATTTTTCATATATACATATATTTAATATATATAGATATATAAAATATATGAAAAATTGAT